AAATAATGAAGATGATAATATCCATGATTAACACCTTTCACAATAAAAATGATTAATCAACCTCTCATAATTACAAAAAAATGAACAAAATGAAAAATTATGATCGGTTGAATGAGATTTTCACGGTTTTTACAAATTGAGTGGTTTTTATTTGAACGCTCCCCTATATATATAGGGTTGAGTTTACGGAAAAGAAGATGAGGATAAGTGCAGAATGGGGATTGAGGTTGGTGCCCCCATTCCATCATCCATGCCTATATAGTAAATGTTTGTGTTAAATAAAAAAAAGCCAAAATATCCCGTTGACATAAATTTGGTCCAAACCGTTACATGGTGTGGTGGCATTTGCTACTTTTGGGATCTATAGCGAAGAGAAAAGTGGGACACCTGGTAAGGTGGCACCTGCATCCACGATAAACGTATTGCCACTTATGTACTCAGATGAGTCATGGATCAGATACCTTACTAGAGCCGTCAAGGCTGGATCAGTCGTCCCATATGTTCTTAAAGGAACTTTCCTTTCAGCTACTTTGCTAAGCCACTCCTTCTGCATCAAACCTTCTGTGATCTCCGACCTAAAAAGCCCTGGACAAATCGAGTTCACTCTGATCTTGTACGTGCCCATTTCCATAGCCATTACCTGTTTAAATCACTTGAACCCAAAAACAAGAAACGACCGTAAATGAAATCTTAATCACGAATTCGATGTTACCTTGGTTAACGTGACAACGCCAGCCTTTGAAGAGGAATAGACGAGACTTCCACGTTGTTGTCCACGGTCAAGACCCGAAATAGACGAGATATTGATGACCGACCCTTCTCGATTCGCGTCACGCATACGTGTACAAACGTACTTCGATACCAACCATGTTCCGCTCAAGTTTATTCTCATGGTACTGTCCCATTCTTCTTCAGATAACTTCAATGGACTCTGCACACTACCTGTATTGTAAGCAGACAAATCAATCATGATCAAGATCACAAATCAAATAGTTCATGGTCTCTTGAATCAACATAAATCAATTCTCTGATTACTTGTCAGCAAGTGATATATGAAGCTTTTGTTTGCTAGACAAACCTGCAGGTAAATTAAGGATGCTGCTCATGTGCTAATATGCTTTCTTGGGTTTACGACGAATTGACTACAATATCAAATCATGATTTGATGAATGTAAATCAAATATTTAATCGAATTCAAAGGGAATATTTAGTTATTACCTCTAACCCCGGCATTGTTAATTAAACAATCGATCTGCCCAAATGCATCCCACGCCCTTTTCACGGAGGCTTCAATGGCAGGACCCTTAGCAGCGACATCAAGCTCCACGGCCATGGCTACGATGTTATTATCACTAATTCCATTGATCTCGTTGCAGAGAGACACGAGCCTGTCTATCCGACGTGCAGCTGCAACGATTCTGCAGCCGGCTTTGGCCAGGTCTATACAGAATTCCCGGCCGATCCCAGACGAGGCTCCGGTGACCATCACAACCTTCCCGCTTAAGTTATCCCACGGCACCAACTTGGAATACACCGTTTGATCGGCCATGGTCTGTGATTCAAATTGTTTGAAGAAAGCAAGGTGCTGTAAGTGTGTGACTAATTGATGGATCTGACGCATGGGTTTGTGGCAACCAACATTATATTAATACAACAAAGGAACACAAGTACCAAGGCAGGTTCGTATAATATTAGGTCCATTTACCACATGTTCAATTAACTAAAAACAGCATGTATGTATGTATATATATATATCTTGAGATGGATGGAGTATTTTTTATTGAAAAGGGTGGGTATAGGTATGAACACTTTGAATTATTGACCATTTGGATGTCGATATAAGAAGTTTGAAATTGTCTTCATTCAAATAGTAAGGCACTTGCAGTTCATATACATGGGTGACTTCCTAATTCATAAAATCAAAAAAGAAAAGTTTAAAAAATAATCATGAAAAATAAAGGATATTCTTTTTGGAAAAAAACAGGCACATGGGATTAGGAGTTATAGCCTTTGTCTGCCCAAATTAACTATGCTTATAAATGCTTTGTTGCAGCGTGCATGTGCCCTGCTGCTCATTTTCTATTGGGATCATGGTATTTATTGCTTCCATCGACTTCGATTTATACAGCTCTTTAATTTCATTTGTTGATTTGATTTAAACTGTTATTACTGTTATGATCGTCTTATTATCGTTTTTTCTAGGTTAGTTGTAACACTCTTGCAGAAGATGGTATCATGATACTATCAAGTGTGAATTCCCTTGGACATTATAGGATCATCCAATTCCCAGTTCTTTAATCTTGATTAGTATAATTTAATCTGGTTTAATTTAAACAAAATTTGTTGGTTTTTTTTGTACTTCTAGATGACTTGGGGGTCTGTTTCGTTGGTTTTCCATTAAGTTTTGTATGGATAAAGTTGTCTGAATAACCCACTCCTAATAAGCCGATACCAAACAGTCACGTATAGCTGATCGAATAAGCTATGAGTTCCATAAAGCTCATTAAGCTGCTAACAATTAGATCCTTGGTAATCAAAATCGAATTGAGGTTTTTTAAGAATTATTTGCAATAAACATCTTCCCTAGTATATGCTGTACATAGCAAGCTGACAATTGACTTCTTTCTTGTTTCCATCCACCAGATATGGTAAAAGATGAATATATTGACATTTAATAGTTCAAATAATTGATAATAATACCATAAAGTCATTGACCTAACAGTATCCGGGTTACCGGTAGAGCCCAACTGTAACCAACCTAATCCATCAACAAGGAGATGAAATTGAGCATCAAGTAAGAATTCATTAAACAAATTGAAACATGTGGATTTGCTTTTTGGCAATTTGATAGCTGAAAATGGGTTTCTTGCAGGAAGAAGCGCTTAGGCGTAAATTAGCAGAAAAGAAGCAACAACAGTATTTTGTGTTGATCGGGCCGGCGAAGAAGTCGGCGTCACAAATGTTAAAGGGACAAGGAGGTGAAGGCGGAGAAAGTCGTTTTGTGCAAGCCGATCTGGAGGCTCAGGCATCGCAGCTTAGCGCGGAGGCTCAGGTTTGGCAGGCAAAGGCGAGGGTGAAGGAAGCAGTTGCGGCAGCGCTACAAGCGCAGCTGCAGCAAGCCATCGTTACCATCTTAAACGCTATGTATAACGATTCTCTGAAATTTCAAGTTTTAACCGATAAAGCTTTTTGAAAGCTCGATGATTGTTGACAGCTTGTTCTTGTGGGATGATTTGTTTTTAAACTTTTAGGTGTTACTTTATCTTTTAATGGATTAAATATCAAAGAACACATTTGTGGAGTCATTTAACTAAGTAGTGACTGAGTAAGATTCTCTATCTTTATGAGTTGTGAAAGGAGTGTTAATATGTCGAGTTACTGAGTAAGATTCTCTATCTTTATCGTCGTTTTTGTCGACTTGAATTATGGTTGGATTGGTTTAAATGTATTGGATTGTAAACTGTCATACAAATTTTTTCATTGGTAGAGTGTAATTTTAACCATAACTCTTATTTATTCAAATTGTATTAATATTGATAAGCTTATATTTAAACATGTTTTTATAATGAATCTAGTACATATTGTAATGTTTATATAGCTTATAGAACCCCTTTAATTTAGTTATTGATTGGTCTTTGATAGGTGCAAAAAGGATTAATTTTAATACAAACAGAGCATATATTTCGAAACTGTTACAAGGTCAGGCATAGTTTTCTGAAGGAATATGAGGCTGAGCATATTTATGAAATGCGTTCTGGAAAGGCATACGAATTCTAATGGCGTGAAAAGGAAGCATAGTTTCTCAAATGTTTTTATTAAAACCCATCAACAACCCAAATAGAGCCTAAGTCTCCACGTTTTTGGATCGAACAAAAGCAGATGTGAGATGG